ATTTTCAAAATGCGATTATTGCGTTGTGTACCGATTTTCCTCGTTGGCTTTCGTAGTATAGCCACTATACACAACTGGTACATCTATCCGTGTTTGAGCAAGCCTGTTCAATCATTTCCAATGTAGCTGCTTCGCGCTTTGCAGTGTTGTTATCTTAAACCGAAATGCGAGCTGTTAGCTAATATACAGACATCGTAAACTTTAACACCCGATTTGTATAATGGACCAGCTTTGTCCCCAGCGGTCAGTGGACCTCATTTTCTGCCTTTGCTTCGTATTCGTACCTATGTGGTCAACACCTTGAGGACCAGGTCCATTACCGTTTCAGCGGTGAGTGTATTCCTTGAACTGCCTTACCATTCCATTTTGCAGCCCCACAGACACGCCGACCTACATACCCACAAACCGCACGCCAAGTTAGCACAGTATGTAGTAAAAGATATACAATGGGGCAGAGCGTCCAAGATAAAACCCTGATTCCTTTCTGAATCCTTATTTATTTATTCTTATTCTCTCGTCTGTGAAAAGTTCTGATGTTACCTAATAAGGGTAGCGAAGTGATAGCTCTATTTTCAGAGTATGGACTGTGATATAGCCTCCTACCATGTAGATTCGTTCAATTACCTCGTCGAAGAAGGCGTTCATCTTGCGGCTCAGTCCGTCCCTGCTGAAAAGTTTCGCCTTCCCTCTGGAGAAGCTGTTGAATTCAGATACACTGGTGCTTCGCTCGCTATGCCTACGTTGGAAAGCCGAAGTGAGTTTCTATGAGACGTTAAACCTGGTTTCTGGAAAGGCTCGTGGCCACGAGAAACCATCGAAGGTAACGGAGGGGAGCGAACATCGCTGTGCAGTAGTATCCCACAACAATTATCACATTCGCAGGGGAATAGCTTGGGGATGGGTGAACTGTTTGCTTATGGTGCAGGAAGAAAATTAGTATAGAAGTGAAAACGTTTGTCATTGTTCTAAATGCATTAGTTATTCTTTAGACCACGGCTAATTAGGTTGTCGCGAATTTTTCGCAGAATGATACCAACTTACGAGCAACCAAACATAGACTGCATCAGTATGTACAATTTATTTACACTTATGTGTATTTCAGTCATCAAAATATGCCGCTATTGATCAACTTCGGATACTTCCTTCGGAATGCCGACAGAGAGGATTGACGTATGCTGGAAACTTACGAGTAGGATTAGAAGTGAGCAGCTACTTTATGCTCAACTACTATGTGTTGTGTATTTTCCGGGCATAGCCCTTGAACCGAAAAAGTAGCGAAAAAGACACAGCCAGCCTATTGGGTACCTTTCGAACGTAATCAAGTAAACAACGAGAACAAGGTTGTTGATTGCAATTTCAACCGTGTTCAGTATTCACATAGAATGTTAGTAGCATTGTATGGGACAAAAATTATAATAAACCTGCCGCTTTTGTACGATTTTCACCCCTCTGCCTTATCCTATCTGTATTGGGGCTTCGAAAAAACGTTATGCACGAGTCTCTACAGTCTCATGTTTTCTGCGGGACACATTTTAGAATGATTCAGCAGTTTTAATTGGGAGCTGAATGCTCGACGGGATTGGGGTTCATAAGCAGCACTAAATCAGCCGTTTTATCCATTTAAGGTACATGTAAGGATTGCAATAGTTAGCGCAGTTCACGAAATTGGCTTAGTGCCTAAAAGAACTATAGCTTGATTGGAGGCGTGAGGTGTATACCATTTACTTTTACCGCCATTGGTTGGCATTATGGATGCATCCAGTGTTGTGTTAGTCGAGTGTGGCTCAAAAACTTTGGTCCGATTACTTCACATCTCCATGAAGATAATTTCGCCCTATAGCATAATATCACAAGCGAGATCTTGTCAATCTTGTGGGAATCGACATTGAAGCGCATTCCACTGTTATGGGCGTGCTTAGAGGAACTAGAATCAAATTAAACTCCTGCCACGAGTCTGCTAGAACTTGTTGATATCTTCTGAGACTGTTGAAGGCTCCATTGTCGAAAAGGGTTCTCAGATGGCGTCGTTCGACAGGCCGGCTTTCATAAATCTGTGCTTTTCTTATCGTGCTATCTAATTGCGCGAGAACCTGGCTTTCTTGATAAAGTAGAGATCTTGGTCATAAAGTTAATTACCAAACAATACTTTTATAGATCAAAGTCAACGGTCAGAGAATTGACGTATTAGAAACTGTGATTGGGCGAGTTCCAGTCATGCTTAGATCTACAGCGTGCCATCTGAGCAAGATGAATAGAAAGGAGCTCCTGAAAGCCGGCGAGGAAGGCACGGAAAAAGGCGGATATTTTATTTGCAAAGGAAGCGAAAAGGTGCGAATCCTTTTCATTTTCCATCGTCTTGCATGATATTCTCTACAAAACAATACTTTAAGGTGATCCGTTTGTTAATAGCGAATCGACGTAATTTTCCAATCGCGTTGCACAGGAAAACTTTTCGAGAAAAGGTGAGATCTTGTTTAGTCGAATTTTATAATTTAGCTCTGGAAATTGGTGCTTTTTTGAAATTAAGCTAGCTGCAAAGGGGTCTTGCTGGTTAGGCTTCCCAGAAACAATCACTATGTGTACATTTTTATCTCCGAAATGCACTTGTTATAAAGCTCTTCCAGTATGGTGCTATTGCGGAGCTTTGTCCGGATGTTGTGTAATACAAAGGGCATATTGAATTTCTTATGTCTCTGTGTGTACAATATTCAGATGCTTAGGTGGATTTAGACTTGGCGATTGCGCAGTTGCGACAGCGCTGTCGCCGTTTGCTGCATAATTGCCGAGTGGGGCGTGTCATTGTTAAGCCCTACGGTTTGCGTTGCGCGCGGTCGCTATCGCGATTGCACAACCGCCAAGTCTGACATCCACCTCATGAGGTATTTACTGAATACCCTACAATATGTCACTTATCGTACATGAAGACCGTTGACGTGAAGTCATACAACCGCACACTTGTGCGCATTTCATTCAGTACCCCATACTACCTCACAAGGTACACGCATATCCATGTCCTTACTTTTGAAGTAGAGCTTGTTATGACGTTTCTAAGGAAGCATTCTGTCCCAAAAGTTGCGAGCAAGTGAAATACTGGACGATGTGGGAATAAGGTTCATGTTTGTAGATATAGATACATATAACTGAACGTTTCATATGCAGTCAAAGTTTCTGTGAATTGCTCTGAGGTACTGACTATTTTTTCCCTTCATATCATTTTTGTAGGGGCTGCTGTTTACTGAGTACGGAGTGATGATGCGCTGCGTCAAGGACAATCACACTGCAGTGATGATGACGATCCACTATCTTGAATCAGGAACAGTACAAGTCGCTTTGCAAGTGAGTCAAGTGCTTATTGACCCCTACAAATGTTTTTGTTTACTACTCCGGTCAAATTGTTCATGTTTAGTATCGGCGAGAAATATTCTATCTACCATTTATGTACATCTTGAAAGCCTTGGTGGATAAAAATGATGCGCTGATAGCTGGTGAATTGAAACGGTAATTCTTCCTGTTGAATTTTATTATCATACAAATAGCATAAGCTCTTTCATTCAGAGGTAGAAAGGACGACGCGTTCTTTCTGTCTTGTGTTATGAATATGCTTTCACAGTGTCAGGACGAAGGTGTGCTGCACCGTGGAGGATGCCTTGCGAGCGATTGGAGCGCGAAATAAACTACAGGGTGGGGTTCATATTTACGAGAAATCATGCACACAACAGTACAGGGTTTCACATCTTCATCCGATTCGTCGTAGTTTTTTTGCATATATTCTTTCGTGTCATAGTTTTCTTTATTTGTTGAAGTCCACCCATCCGCAACGAGCGCTTGAGGCACTCGTTTCGGGTGAAGTGAGGCCGACCAGACGCATTCAAGCTATTCAAGCTTGTTTGTTATAATGTAATTCTTCTTTGCGAGGTTGTTAGGTGGAATCTTTAATTAGTGGAATTGGGTGCGTTGCTGGCAAGGCCTTGAAGCATGGCTCAGGGTCGTGATTATGTCCTTTGACACCGCCTAACGCCCGGCTCTTCTCTTAGCGTTTCTGAAGGAACGGTGTTACGGGGGACATAGCGAAAACAACGACGCTGAGAGGGCAGGGTAGTTTGTGGGTTAAAGGACATATCTCCTTAATATTATTTAGCGCCATTGATCAGCACTGCGCTGAAGCGAAAGCCGACTCGCTCGAACTGTCAGGCCAAATAAGGATTGCCACTTAACAACCTCGCGGCAGAAGAATTACATTATAATCCCTTATTGTTTTAATTAAATTTAATAAATTTTCACTGTTTTAATAGTTCGATTCGATTTTATATCGTTCGTTTTTTGGTCGTTCTGTTGAGTTCATGGTTGCGCTTATTTCCTTTTCTTTCTCACATGCGAACTGCAATAAAGTATGTGAGTAAGTAAACAATCACTTTGAATAAGAACTGGTGACCATTGGTGTATCAGCTATAGTCAGATGTTTCTCAGACTGATATGCCGTTTCGTCTTTTCTTTTTTTTTTGAAATGAATCTAGCGTTATGTGGTCATATATTATGTTCCCCACTCTATTGCTTCTTGTAGATATATCTGATTCATGTTTTTCAAGTAGCAGGGCGCGCGTCGGCGTAGCAGTGATTTGAATCAAAAGTTCATCACAGCATCATTGACTCCTGCGTAGCAGTGCATTTGGATGATTGGGAAGAGAAGTTCTATCTACTTGTTTATATGGCACAGAAGCTTTTCGCTTTAGTAAAGGTAGACTCCTTAATCATTTCTCTGCATGTTACAGTTGTAGTTAGCAAGTAACAACGGCCCGTTGTTTAAACACATGAATTTAATTGCATCAGTCTCCTAGCTCAAGCGAAGAGGAGCAAAATACTAAAATTGTGCGTTTTTGGTTTAAAGTTCAAGTATTAAAGCGAATCTTATGAGGCTGCTAGAAAAGTTTGAGAAGCCACTTTGTTGAACATCATATGAGAATTCTCAGTTGTTTTCAACATCTCGTAATAATTCCAATAATGTCCACTTTGTCACAACAAATTTGGCCGGTGAAAATTCTTGTTTCAGGGAGAGTGTGCTCCAGAAACGCCGGACAATCCTCAATTCCAGGTCAGGCTGGACCTTAATTGCTTGTTTCAGTTCATCCTTAATGATTTGTTTCACGTACTATCTAAGCTTTATTTATTATTCAACATCCTCACCGGTGGCAGGCTAGGTTACCAGGGGTGCAGGCTTGTGGGACGATGGCAGCCCATGCCTATGGCTCCGGCTAATAATAGCCTGCCTCGCTTATATCGCAATTTTTTGAATTTTGTCCAATATCATCAAAATATTTGTGGACTAATACATAACTCTTAATTGAAACCCTACCTGATTTTTTGGTCGGTTCAGCCTTCTTTTTGTTTTAATTCGCACAACATGTGGATGAAAAGAGATTAAAAAGTAAACATTAAACTCTGCAGATGGTCTGGTACGCATTTCCACTGAAACGGTCGAGGTGGCAATGCTTTTGATGTCCTCTGTAGCGAAAGCTGATGAATTTTGTTCTTTTATTGACACTACACGATAATGTGTTGAATAAGTGTTCTGTTTTAATACACCTAGATAACCTTTGATTATTGTCTATTACTAAAATTACTTCGAATTATTCATGTTTTTGTTCATTTGCAATACAGAATTCACCGAGTTGTTCTAAGGTGAGGCGGCGGCCTCTCGCACAATCTCTATCTCCACATCCCACGATTACAAAGCGAAAAAGGGTGCCATCGTGAATATTTACTTTGCTCATCTCCTTACTACAATATAGCGTTACATTTTAGTGTCCGAATCTCAACAGAGTTTTAGAGATCCTTTACTCATTTCTCTACATCTACATTACTTGTGCCCATTACATTATTATTAATGACGATTAAAATTATTCGGTTTCAGGAAGCCGCCGTTTCTGGTCACATCATTCTGTTGATTATTCGAGAGCGAATGGAAAATATCCTTGGAATAGTTCGCCGCAAGCTTGAATATAATGCTAAGCGTAAGAAAGACAGTTTTGTTCTAACTTCGTAAGTCTCATGTTCCCATATTAATACTTGATTGGTCTTCAAATCCTATTCCTTAATTGTTTAGTTCAGGAATGAAGTCCTCCGTGCTCTCGGCAGTAATAATCCGGAAATAACAAGAGGTCTCGAGCAGTTTTTCTTGTCTACTGGCACTAATAACTAAATAGGGATTGTCCCTTACAACACGGTTAATGGGGTTTTGACATTTCCTTTAATTCTCCGCGTGTGAAATTAAAGCAACGTTGTCATGCGAGTTTTATCCGTGCTGCCTGGGCTGATACGAGTTCGCTTTTTAGGAAACGGGATTCTCTGTGATAGCTGAGAGGATAAATCAGCTTCGCTTTGTTTCACATTTCAGAGCTATTCACAGGTAAACATTCCTCCTTCAGATTGAATTACTTAGATTGAACGTAATTAATTGCATTACAGAGGAGCATTTTTTACTGAGATGCGAACAACGGACGTACGTAAACTACGCCCGGAAGCATGGGGCTTCATTTGCCCAGTCCACACACCTGACGGTAAATACATCTACTGTTTTTCAATCAAATAATGAACGTATAACGTTTAGTCCACGCTGGGCCGCATTTGGTCCAGGGTCATGACGCGCGGTAGTGATCCTTTTGCCACCACACCATCTCCATTCGAATGATATGATTTTGAAATAGGGCAATCGGCAATTGATTTACCTATTTAACAGACCCCATTTAGCTATCATAAGCCGTGTTAGAAAGTTAAATTTCCTTTTCTGGAGCTGCGCACACTGATAAGTGGCCTGTACGTAATTGATAGCACAACAGCACGGAAAGCTAGAGGTGTGTGCTAGCTCTCTCCGAGGCAAAAGCTTCGACCTCAACTAGGCAGTCTGCTGAAGCTTTTGCAAGGCGAAATGTTATTTTCTGGCTCTGAATAGAGTCTAACAACAAAGCTATGCAGACTCTCGATTACTTTTTTTTTTTTGAATTTTGTTTGGATATAGGACTACACCTTTGTTTATATTTCATAAATTACTGTAAACGGTGAGTGTCAGTTAAAGAATTTTTTAGGTTCTCCCTGTGGTCTTTTGAACCATTTGACTGCTTCATGCCGAATTGTTACTCACTATTCTGACACTAGAGACTTACCTGCATTTTTGACAGATCTAGGAATGATTTCGTTCAAATCGATCGCATTTGCTCCCGTCAATGAAAAGGTGAGTACTATTTGGAAAGTGCTTCCTTCAAAATTAGGTTAAATAGTTCTCTGGAAATATGAAGGGTTAATGCTGCGGAAGTCATTCTTGATCTGCAAGCGCAATAAACAGTGTGCGTTATGTCAATATGAGGAGCCAAAGTACATCTTCTAGGAAGCATTATGGTCTACTTTTTCCCTATTAGGCTTGGTCAAATTCGAAATATAAAGTCAGCAAGAAGGATTAATCTTGACGAATTTAATTAGAGGTTTACTCAACAATTATGTTATGATTCTCAAAATGTCCTATAATGGATAACTGCGGAAACTGTACCACGTGCAACTTCCCTTTTCTTGCACCGGGAAGACAAATTATTTTTGGCCAAGAATCTGCTTACTATAAAGCGCCTTGAATTCTGTTCTGTTTTGTCAGTCTGTTCACGAAATTCGCGGTAGTACCTGAAAGCCACGTTGAAAACCGGGTGTGACGTTTGGTGGCGTGGGATGGGCCATGGAGTTACTTACGAAACACATCACGATGCGCTAACAATAAGCGGGACCTGGAACCTTAGGTGCGGGACATGTTACCGAGTTAATGGGCGTGTGCTGAGTGGCAAACTGTGCGCGTTTCCAGGATAGCTCAAAGACCTGGAAAAATGTGCAAGGTGACCTTTGTGTTGCCATGTTGCAACCACTGACCCGCGGTGGGAGGAGTACTCTCTGAATGGGCGGTGCTTACTAACTAGAAATTCAACTGTAAGAATGTCCAAGGATTGTAGGGTTTTCTACAAATCTTCGTAAAGAGTCCTGTTCCGTTGGTCAAGAGAGCGGGGGTGAAAGGCTAGCAGTAAGGGGATTTTAGGTGCTGGTGGTTGGCGCGGAGTGGAGTGGGCTGGGCTTGTCACGAAGCTTATAACCTGGTTCCAAAATATCCCGATGCAGACAAAAAGTGGATAGGGGCTGAAACAAGGGGTGAAGGGATTCGCCAAGCCACCCTTTTTACACGTGGGTGCATAACCACACCTAAAGGTAACTCATATCAACGAAGCAAAAAGAAATTTGCTACCTCCAATCGCTAACTAGCAGTAATGAATGATAGCAGCCATTGTGTGGCCTATAAGAGTTGATTAGCTATTTGACTGTGCGATGCCAAGCGTTGGTTCAACAATGATGCCTTCTTTTCGCTTTATGAACTTTTGCTTTAATTGTTCTCAAATAATATCAAACGGTGATCGTAATTAGAATCGATGTGTGTTTTCTGCCAGCGGTTTTGCCGTAAATCGTCATCAAACTTATACCAACATTCATGAAAAGTCGAACTCAGCGATTGCAGCTGGATATTTCGATTTTTGTGTCAGTTTCTTTGAACCTTTGTTAACAAATCATGTTCTTTGTAGCGTTATCCTGTTTTCCTTGATGGTCGCTTCCTTGGTTATATTCCTGTGAAAAAAGCTGCTGCCATAGAACGACAACTGCGCTGCATCAAGACGAATCTCAACGACTCGAGAGTACCTTGTGTAGCTGAGGTGAGGACTTATCGAGGTTCTTTCATACATATTTGTACCAGCTCGATTCGCGGTATCACCTGCCGATCAGCAGTCCTTTTAGTTTTACATTTCTCATTAAAAAAAACTAACTTCGGTGTCCTGTTTTCAGATAGCCCTCGTCCCTCACTCGACAGACCTGAAGAATATACAGACACAGTATCCCGGCTTGTACATCCTTACTGATCCTGCTCGTTTGATCCGTTCTGTGCGGAATCTCGTAACTAATT